TTGCAAAAATAAAAAACTAAGAACATGTTAACATTGCATATTTCTAAACTCAGGACAACATTTAGAAACTATTTAGCACAGATGTTTTTTAGTGGTTGTAGATGCCCAACAAATTTTGGTGGTCAAAGTTAGAAAAAAGAGTGTTTTTTTTAAAAAAAAAAGTCATCATATTTTTTTTTTTTTAAAGTAAATTATATGATTAAACTAATCTTTAGAAAGACCATTTAATGACGAGAAAAACTGCATATAATATATGTGGGTACAGTAAATGAGTAAGAGGAAAATTACAGCTAAACACAAACACCGAAGAAATGTAAAAACAGCCCTGGTCCTTAATGGTAAAAAATGTTTTTAAAACGATCTGGTCACCGAGGGGTTAATCAAAGTAAATAATGAAGAACAATAATAGCTAATATATACATGTAATGATAGCCTTACTTTGTAATTTACTAAGTAATGTTTCATAACTTAAAGAATGCATATTTGTTAACATTACCCTTCTGTGTTGCTGTTTTGGCATTATTTAATTCTGTCATTTGGCTTGTGCCATTTCTGTTTTAGATATGCAAGCATTGCAATATGGTAAAATACGGCATTAATTAAATAATTTGTTTATTCTTTAAATTTCTGTGTCAGTGATAAAAATGTTAACATCTAAAAATAATCATGTTATGCTATATCAATGTAATCAAAATGCCTTAAATATCAATTTGCAACAAATATTGAGTCTTTCTGTAAGACTTCTAGCATCAACATAATGCCACCCACCAGGTTCACTTCAGAATATGTCTTACAGATGATTTCAGAGCATTTTATAAGCCATATGGCAGATGATATGAATGCTCCCACCTTTTGGTGATACCAGATGTCCCCTCTGTGATTTAACAATGCTCGCACAGTAGTAAAGGAAATTGGAACAAACTGAAGCATAGTTACACAGGGAGACTGCATTAACATCCAATATGCATTTCCTATGCTTAAATACATTTATTTTATACAAAGACTTACAATCATTTTGATCTGTAACATTTTTTGTTTGACATAAGAGCACTGTAAGCAATTATAAATAATTTTACATTATGTTATATATGGTAATAAGGGGGTAACATGAAATGGTCAGTTAAAAAAATATATATTTTCTTAAGAACCAGTTTTGCATCACATGTGATAAGAGCTAAATCAATTACAAAAGGAATTTATTAGTAAAAATAATAAAAAAAAAAAATATAGAAATAATGAAAGTAAGGTAAATAAATAACTTGTAGAACCAGAGAGGGAATGTATAGAAAAACAGATAATAGCTCTCGGTCAACAAGACAGAAGGGAATAAAAAATGGTTTGATAAAAAAAAAAAATATATATATATATATATATATAATCTCCTATACAACTGGTTAAAAGAAATCTCTGAGCTCAGAATAGAAAATATAAAAAAGCAAAACGACCACAGTCTAATGCAAAAAACAGGAGTAAATATATATAAAAACAAACACATGCAGTGGATGGGGTATATTCACTAAACAGTGGGTTGTAGAGGGATAAATGCAATGCCAGTTATATATAAAATGCATAAAAATTATTAAAATAGTCCAAATTGTATCGGCTCAAAGATATGCCGAGCAAAGATTCATGCTATGAACACAGCGAGGAAATCTGCTGTCTGAGCTGTAATAGTTTAGTATTAGAGTCTCATCCAATAGTAGACATAAAATATACATTTTACTCTTTTTAAAGTGACAAGTTATGTATACAGTAACTAGTATGCACTTTTCAACTTTTGGACTAAAAAAAAAAAATATTGGCATAACCAGAGGCGTAACTAGAAACCACGAGGTCCGGTGCGAAAATTGCCCTGGCATATGTCTACCCCCACCCCATATGTCCCCAGCCCCCCACAGGTCCCCAGCCCCCCACACATGCAGACACACACTGTCATGTAGACAAACACACACACACACAGACATGTAGACACATATACATACAAACACATACATAATACATACACACATACAGAGACTCCAACACACAGACACACGCACATACAGACACACACACACACATACACAGAGACACATACACACAGACACACATACATATAGAAAGACACACACACAAATACAGAGACATACATACAAACACACATACACTAACACACACACACACATATGCAAAATGTTTAAGTCACCCTCCTGTTTCCTACTTTTCAGATGCAGGAGGGTGACTTCCCCTGTGTCCAGCGGTGGCTCAGCCTGATGGGAGTCAGAGTTCCCACTCTTACTCCCTCCTCCTTCCGCGTGGCTCCCCGTGGTTGCTGGGAGGAAGTGACAGGGGTAGTCACTTCCTCCCTGCGCTCTGACCTCATACACCTGGAGTGACTGCATGGTCGCAGCTGTGACCTCGGTAGTTCCACCACTGGGCATAACATTTATTTGAAGCAATGAATGCAATTTCCTGTAAGGATTGTTTTTCAGAGGAAATATGAGGAAAATGTAAAAGATTTATGAATATATATATATATATATATATATATATATATATATATATATATATATATATACACACACACACACACACACACACACACACACACACACACTTGTAGCAAAAGAAGGGAAATCAATTTTTGGTTGGCATGTATTATAAATCACCAAATGTTAATATTGATTTGGAAGAACAGCTATTAGAACAAATTGTGAAAGCTCCACATCTGGGTAACACGATAATTATTGGAGATTTTAATTACTCAGACATAAATTGGGATAGAGGGACTAGTAGTTCAGCAAGGGGAATCAGGTTTTTGAATGTGTTAAATGATACCTTCCTGTCACAACTGGTACATGCACCAACTAGAAAGAATGCTTGACTGAATCTGGTTATAACAATTAGGTTCGTTTGTAAAGATGGCCGGCGCCACGTGTTCATATGCCGAAGGGCGGATTCCCAGGGGATACCCAGTCAGTTTGTGTGGTTAGCAACTAAAGCAGTGTGAATAACGATGGAGGGGGTCAATAAGTGCCACGCTCCTCTCCTTGGTGGCCTTGTTGTTCGGTAGTTTGTCGAACAATACGGCTTAATATAGTTGAAATGGGATTCTTACCGAACAACTAGACAAATGATATAAAAGACAGCTTGTTACTTGTTTCCTATAAGTAACGAACAGTGGCAAATAATATAAAATAATGCAACAATTAAGGGTATGGACAGCCAAAAATATGAAAGGTGGATAGTAGCAAAACACAGTCCGCTACACTCTCTATCCCATAGAGTGGTGTTGTTGTGTGCGTGGTGAGTGGACCTCTGGGAAATTAGAAAAGGGAATGTTAGATGGAGGGACAAATTAAGATAATGACACTGAATATTTAGGGCCTAAATTCCCCTCAGAAATGAGCTATGTTTAATGATTATTTATATAAGGAACATATAGACATATGTTGTATTCAGGAAACTCATATGAATGGCAATGACATATTGCGACTAAATAGTAAGAAATACACTGTTATAGAACACTCATCCCTAAGTAGGGGAAAAAAAACACGGCATATCTCCTCAAATAATATATAATTGGAGATTATATATAACCAGAGTGATGTGATGGGTATATTCTCCTTTCTTGAATGCAAGAATGATGATAGAATATACTCTGTATTAAATATATATGCTCCAAATACAAAACAAGTACATTTTTTGAATAAAATCTTACAAAAAGTAAATGCATTTGTCCAAGGATAGAGTTGAGCGGACACCTGGATGTTCGGGTTCGCGAAGTTCGGACGAACTTAGTCAAAAAGTTCGAGTTCGGGCTCGAACTTGACCCGAACTTGACCTCGAACCCGAACCCCATTGAAGTCAATGGGGACCCGAACTTTTGGGCACTAAAATGCCTCTAAAAAAAGTCCTGGAAAGGCCTAGAGGGCTGCAAAAGGAAGTAAAATGGGGGTAAGAGTAGGACAAGTGCCCTGCAAACAAATGTGGATAGGAAAATAACTTAAAATAACATAAAATACATAAAAATTAAAAATAATAATCTTGAACTAGGAGGAAGAGGTGGATGTGGAGTAGGAGGTTGAGGAAGTGGTGACCGTGGCGGTGTAGGTGGAAGCGGCAGTGGAGGAGGTAGCCCCCAAAATATTGGGACATATAAAAAAAAAAGAAACATTTGCGGCCTGTGGTCCATTTCTTGCAGTATAATAATGCCATCAGGTTTTTAAAACTGTCCGTCTCCACCAGACAGAATGACAGCATTTCAAAGGCCAGGAATTTTGAAATGCTGGCATTTAGGGCCAGGGATCACGGGTGGGTAGGAGGGTACTTCCTCTTTCTCTCCAGTGTTTGGAACATGGACAGCTGAACGCTTCCATGAGACAGTGTGGAGATGCTTGGGGGCGGTGGTGGCATTGCTGCCACACCCTCTGTTTGCGGGGTGGAGGAAGAGGTGGAGGAAGAGGCCATGACAGCAGCAGAAGAGGAAGCAGGAGGAGCCTGAGACCTTTCTTGGTTTTTGAGGTGCTTACTCCACTGCAGCTCGTGCTTTGCATGTAGATGCCTGGTCATGCAGGTTGTGCTCAGGTTTAGAATTTTTTTGCCTCGCTTTAGGCTCTGCACAGCATGCAAACTACTCTTGTCTTGTCGTCAGCACGTTGTCTGAAGAACTGCCATGCCAGGGAACTTCTTGGAGCTGGGTTTGGTGTGTTTTTTTTTTTTTTTTATTGGGGTAGCCCCCAAAATATTGGGACATATAAAAAAAGAAACATTTACGGCCTGCGGTGCATTTCTTGCAGTCCAATAACGCCATCAGGCTTTTAAAACTGTCCATCTCCCCCAAACGTAATGACAGCTTTTCAGAGGCCAGGAATTTCAGCATTTTTCAAGGAGACATAGAAGCAGGATAGAAAGGCTGAGAACAGCGTCATTGGCACTGGCCATGTTGGTGGAGTACTCGAAACAACGCAACATGGCACACAGTGTCAGGATCTTACCTGATGGGGAGTCCGGCTCGCAGAGTTATACGCTCACCCTTGCAAAGTAGACACAGACCAGGGTGACCAGGTAAGACGCCACCTGATCTGTGAGTCTGTGCACGGGGGCTTTCCAGGAATAGTGCTCCAAGTAGCAGTACAGCAGGGATTAGCAGAAGCGTAGTCAAGGAAAGCCAAAGTCAGGGGAATCCAGAGATCAGAGTAGTCCAGGAGGAAAGCCAAGGTCAGAAGCCTGAATCAGACAGAAAATACTGGAACGCAGATATAGCAAGACAGGAACCAAACAAGGGAACCAGAGTCAATGAACTGACACTGCCCTCAGGGAGAGGCAGTGTCTTATACCTGGCTAATTGGTGATCAGCCACAGGTGTGCTGAGATCGTTGGAGCAGCTACAGAATAACGTCCAGCCCCCAGTGCTGGGTACAAGACAAGATAGACTGCTGGCTATCTCTTGAGCTGATATGGTGGCTCAGAGGCAAAATAGCAGCCCCAGGACTGCAAAGTACCCTGGTTCAAGTCCATCACCGGGCACTTCTGGGGCGACCTCGTCGGGATGTCGCGGTGAGAACCGTGACACACAGGTCTTGCATGGAGGCCCACTCATTGATGGTGAAGTGGTGCTGTTCCGCAGAGCGACTGACCCGTGCGTGCTGCAGCTGAAACTCCACTATCGCCTGCTGCTGCTCGCACAGTCTCTCCAGCATGGGCAGGTCATATATGAGGTGTTGAGCGGGAAGGCCGAAGTTACGCTGCAGCGCAGACAGGCAAGCTGCAGCAGGGTGAGAACGCCGAAAGCGTGCACAGCTGCTACAGTGAAACTGCGAATGGCTCATTAAATCAGTTATGGTTCCTTTGATTGCTCCATCTGTTACTTGGATAACTCTGGTAATTCTAGAGCTAATTCATACCGATGAGCGCTAGGGGACAGTCGCTCCGCTTTTGCACCCTGCTCCATCTTTTGCTGTGCTGGTGCCTCTGTGCGACCACCTCCTCTTCCTCCAAACTGCACACGTCACTCGCATGACCTTCATTCCATGTGGGGTCTAGGACCTCATCATCCTCCACATCATCTTCCACCTACTCCTCAACCCTGCCCTCCTTGCTGGTCTGCACACTGCAGAAAGCCACAGCAATTATCATCTGTGTTTTTCCAGCATGTCAGGTTCACTAAGAATAACTTACTGAAATGGCAAACACTATAATTGGTACAGTATGTAGATTAATGATAAAGATTATGGTCCCAGGTGTGTCCTGGAGCCCTCCCACTGTAAGTAGTCAGCTTGCGATTTGACAACTTACCTGGGTTCCACTGGGTATTGGTAGCACCTTTCTGTGCTGACAGGTCCTGAACAGGAGCCTCAGGCACCTGGGGGCCTGCTGGTAACTTCCTCCCATGGAAAGTTGTCAAGCTGGAATGGTAATGCTGTGTGGAGTGTTAAAGATTCAAAGTGCAAGTAATCTAAATAAAAAAGTGCAAGTAATCTAAATTGTATCTCCAAATATTTCATATACAGTATAATGGCAACCTATGTAAAACTTGTGCGGTATACTTTAATAACTTATTATTCTTTTGCAGGCCAACTGAACATCCAGAAAGACAAAAATACTTCAGAGTTGGGTTTTTCATTTTTTAAAGCTTGTTTTTTGATATTTATGCACTTTTTAAAATGTTTTTTATGCACATGTGTAAAAATCACTGAAAAATTTAAATTGTAAAGTCTGCAAAGGACATATGGACATTGTTTTAGAATTGTATCCAGGCAACAGTTTTCTCTATAAACTGACCACTCAGTTTGACTTGTGAGGGTATTGCCCCAGAATTACAATATTGTTTAAGTAACTCTTAGCTATTGATAACTGGTTTAAATATAGCAGCTTGTTATCTGGTAGTCAGGGCCGGACTGGCCCACCGGGATACCGGGAAATTTCCCGGTGGGCCGCGGCACCTGGGGCTGCAAGGCTACATATGTGCCACCGGGTGGCCGGTCCGGTGGCACACTGAGAGGGGGCCGGCCGCGTTCCTGGCTGGAGCCGCCGGGCCGGGTGGCAGCTTCCCCGGTCCGGCGGCACTCCAGTCACTGGCTGCTGATGGCTGATGGAGGAGGAGCCTGTCTACCATGCTCCCTCGCGGTTCCCACAATTCCCGGCACAGGAACCGCGAGGGAGCATGGTAGACAGGCTCCTCCTCCATCAGCCATCAGCAGCCAGTGACTGGAGTGCCGCCGGACCGGGGAAGCTGCCACCTGGCCCGGCGGCTCCAGTCTGGAACATAATGTTATTGTGCATGGAATATTTCTTTAAATAATCTACAAGTGCCCCTCCCGGGCTCAGGCTCTGGATCCGTCACTGGTATATGACATGTATATTAGTTATATATATATATATATATATATCTCTATTATATTTACACATATTAATGTACATTTATATATGCATAATACACAGAGAAATGTCATTAATGTGTACCATATGTAATGAGCAGATATTGGCCCAGTCTTGTTGCTAGGTGCATACTCCAGCACAATAACATATTTAAAGTGAAGAGCACACCCACAGGACTTCAAAATAAACATTTTTTACAGTTGTGCCCTACATACATTTACCATTTCAGTCCCATTAACAAGCTTTCCTTAATATGTCAAGGTAGTTGGACTGAAACATTGATTACATGCAAAGGCACGTCTGCTTAAAATAAATCTGCACTTTTATTTTTTTTTAAGCCTATGAGTGCGCTTTTTACGTTGAAGTACATTTTAATTTTAATTTATCTGTTCTAACTCTGTATCTGCAAACTATACTGGCGCGACGCATTATGGGGCTGGTAAATATTTTTTTTCCAGGGCTGCTTTTAATTCCCAGTCTGGCCCTGCTGGTAGTTTCTAGTGTAGAAAATATCAATCTGTTTTCTATCACTTAGATCTGTGTAACAAGTGGAACAAGTGTAGGTGTGAAACAATATTACAAGTGACCGGTTTAGTAGATTAGAATCAAAGTTCCATTTGGAAAAAAAAAAATTCTTGCCATTTTCTGTGGGTTGTTGCATTTTTAATATGTAGACTTATTGTATCACACTATCCATGCACAGGTAGATTGCCTGGTACGTTGTTTTGGAGTTTGGTTTTTAACTTTGTAGTTGAGTCTTAACACAATATAGAAATGTATATTAATGCTTCTGTATATGAAGCGATCACAATAACACTTATTTTTCACTTAAAAAAAAAAAAAATCAGGCTAAACAAAAATTGGTAATTAACAATATGGCATCTGAAAAGCACATGAAAGGATGCTGTATGATTTAAAAAAAAAAAACACCCTACATGAAGGTCTTGTTCACTAGTGTAGTCATGAATGTAACCAGTAAAACCTTGTTTTTACAGCCACTGGTTGGCCCATACATATTTTAAAACTTGTTTAATTTTGTTATAGCATGACTTGCAGTCTTGTTTTTAACTTGTCTATAATACATTTTTTTGTATGACACTAAGTGAGTTTTTTCACTGATTATTGCATTTTAATCGTCTAAGATAAATTAACATGTCAACAGGCAAACGCAACCTGAATGATTTGTCTCAGTTTTGCCTTCTATACTACCTGCACCATAGGCAACATTTATTTGTCTTTAAACTTTCTTGAGAAGCGGTAACTAGCCAGTGTTGCACACATACACCAGATTTTTGCACACCCCAAATTTACTATTTAGCACCAAAAAATTGGAAATTTTAAAACTGCAATGTTTTTTAAGCTTGTTTTTTTTATATTTATGCACTTTTTAAAATATTTGACGGTTCTGTTTGACAGTATTTGACGGTTCTATTTGACTCTCCGATATGAAGTGCAATCCCCAGATGTACTATTTAGCACCCAAAAAATTTTAAATTTTTAAAACTGCGATGTAACCACAGTATTTGACGGTTCTATTTGACTCTCAGATATGAAGTGCACACCCCAAATGTACTATGTAGCACCCAAAAAAATTTTATTTTAAAAACTGCGATGTAACCACAGTATTTGACGGTTCTATTTGACTCTCAGATATGAAGTGCACACCCCAAATGTACTATTTAGTACCAAAGAAATTTGAATTTTTAGAACTGCGTTGTAACCACAGTATTTGACGGTTCTATTTGACTCTCAGATATGAAGTGCACCGCAGGCCGCAAGTGTACTATTTAGCAACATAAAAATTAGAATTTGTCAAAGTGCGATGTAACCACAGTATTTGATGGTTCTATTTGACTCTCAGAAATGAAGTGCACACCCCAAATGTACTATTTAGCACAAAAAAAATGAGAAATGTTAAAACTGCAATGTTTTTTAAGCTTTTTTTTATATTTATGCACTTTTTAAAATATTTGACGGTTCTATTTGACAGTATTTGACGGTTCTATTTGACTCTCCGATATGAAGTGCACACCCCAAATGTACTATTTAGCACCCAAAAAAATGTGAATTTTTAAAACTGCGATGTTCTATTTGACAGTATTTGACGGTTCTATTTGACTCTCCGATATGAAGTGCACACCCCAAATGTACTATTTAGCACCCAAAAAAATGTGAATTTTTAAAACTGCGATGCAACCACAGTATTTGACGGTTCTATTTGACTCTCAGATATGAAGTGCACACCCCAAATGTACTATGTAGCACCCAAAAACATTTTATTTTAAAAACTGCGATGTAACCACAGTATTTGACGGTTCTATTTGACTCTCAGATTTGAAGTGCACACCCCAAATGTACTATTTAGTACCCAAAAAAAGTTAATTTTAAAAACTGCGTTGTAACCACAGTATTTGATGGTTCTATTTGACTCTCAGATATGAAGTGCAAGACCCAAATTTACTTTTTAGCACCCAAAAAATTTGAATTGGTCAAACTGCGATGTAACCACAGTATATGACGGTTCTATTTGACTCTCTGATATGAAGTGCAAGCCCCAAATTTACATTTTAGCACCCAAAAAATTTGAATTGGTCAAACTGCGATGTAACCACAGTATTTGACGGTTCTATTTGACTCTCAGATATGAAGTGCACCGCAGGCTGCAAATGTACTATTTAGCACAAAAAAGTGTGATTTTTTTTAAACCAACAATGTAACAGTAGTATTTAAGGGTTTTATTAGACTGCAAGAAATGCAGTACGCAAATGTACTTTTTAGCACCTAAAAAATTGCAGTATTTAAAAATGCCTAGATGTTGCCCACTGAGCAACCAGAACAGGCTTAAAGTCA